TCGTGTTCTTGCTGGGTGAGTTCAGTCCTGGTTTTTGCCTTTCTGAGTCTCAGCTTCCTCATCTGTAAGATGGGGGCATTTTTATAGCTAACTCCCAGGGCTGTTTTGAGAATCAATGGGGCCCAGCATATTGTAAGTGCAAAAGTGTAGGTTATTTATTGTCATTGCTCACATTCTGAATGCCTGACAGTAAGTGCTCAAAAAATTTGGTAGAATAGAACTCAAGAGTAAGAAAATCCTCCAGGAAGAATTTCATGTTTAGAGCTGCTGCTATTTCGAGGGGATGTGCTTACCCTGCAAGGACCCAGGGAAGGATGTAGTCATCCGTGTGAGAACACCTGTCAGACATGACATTGACCCAAGTCCCTAATCTGATTCCTTGCTCCAGAGCTTGTTTTGATGTCCTGTTCTTAGGTAGAAGCCTTGTCAAGCCATTAATGTGATATGAACAGATACAGTGTCTGATCTTCGCTGGAAGCTAAGAAGCAGCGTTCATTCCCTCCCGTATCCTTGGCTGCCTTCCGGCAGCTGATGGCTGGAGGCGGCTGGGCAGTGGAAGCAGATTCCCAGCGGCTGGCAGGAGTATGTGGCAGACAGGGCTGAGGAAGACGTCTCCCCGGGGATAGCCTCCTTGCTTGCTCAATTCCAAGTGACCATCAGCATTTTGTTTGCTTTCCTGAGACCCAGCCCTGGCATGAAGAAATAATGTGACCTTCAGACCCTCAACAAGCTGAATCACTAACCTTTGGTAAATCCATGCCAGGAATTGAGAGTGTTTAGCTCAAGTGAGCAGCAGACCTAGGCCAAAATGGCGTTACAAAACATGGAGGTCACTGTTAACACTGTGCATGTGAAGTCAAAGTGGAAGTAAGCTATTAAGATCTTAGTATGAGTCCAAAAGGGCCTGCTGACAGTCCTTGGCTATATGACTGTGAGCAAGTGCCTTAACCTTTCTCAACATCACTTTTCTCATCTATAAAACAGGAATAAGAATTCCTGCCACATCTGACTCATAGGGTTCTCATGAGGCTCACATTTGAGCAAATTTAGAACACACGGTATCAAGTGATAGTGCACGGCTTCCTTTATGTTTCCCGCGAGGGCGGTGGTGAGGCTCACCTGAGCAGCTACTCACAAAGATCAGCGCATAATAGATGTGCAAGAATTAGAATTCAGTTGTTGCTTGTAAAAATGCTACATGTGAAAATGCAATATAAGTGCACAGAATATTATAAAGTGTAAATTCTTACTTTCATCTTTCATTCATCTGTTAGCAGACAGAATTAACACGTGGTCCCACAGTCACCTGTCCAGCCAGGTAAATTTTTCCATCCCTGGTCCTAGGGGACGTCAGTAACTCCTTGCCATCCTCTTTACTCCTCAAGCCAGCCCCACACACGGTCTCTTCCTCAAACACTGTTTTTACCACATTGTTCCTCCTGAAGAACAATGTGTCTTACAGGCACAGGACTCCAGCCCCCTCCAAATTGTTCTTTGAAGCAAAACCTCCCTTTTCTGCTCTCAGGGTCAAGCCGCCTCTTCTCCACACCTCTGCTTCTTCCTTGAGCCATCACTGCCAGATGGAATGCCCTTGTCTCACCTCTCTTTTTTCAGGCTCAACTCTTCTTCAAAATTCATACCCCTCCTTCCTCTGGGAGCTTCCTCTGATTTACCCCACCCCACAGATCACTCAGCTAGTGTGGGCTCGGTTTGTGTTGTACAATTTGGCTTTTGCTCACACTTGATTTTCTAAACATTCTTTCAGCCCCGTGGCAGGGACTGCATCTTCTTCTGTCTTTGCCTGTGCTTAGTGGAACATACTATTTAAAGGATGCAATCCAGGGAGAATAGACCTTGACTAAGAGTCCCTCACCTTATTGTTTGCCTTCCTAGGCCCCTCTCTAGCAGCAGAAGCTCCCCGAGGAGCAGTGCCACCCTTCAATGAAACATTTTGTTTTAGATGTCAGCGGGGGTCCCTACCTCCCACCATACCCAGGGAAAGCTTTCAGTTAGTGCCTGCAGGGGACTAATTCTTCATGACTCCTGGCTTTTCTATTCAGGTATAATTGCTCTTGTTCTCCAATTTGGCAGGGGCCTTGCAGCCAAAAGAAACCTGTGCAGGGAGTAAATCAGAGCATTGGGTCAGTATCTCTGCAACGAACTGGGGTTTTTCTTCTAGTTTCTTTTTCTTTTTCTTTCTTTCTTTCTTTTCTTTTTTTCTTTTTTTTTTTTT